CGAAGTATTGAGTATTAATCCATACATATAAAAATGTGTCTTTGTGTATGTGTGTTCCAGGATAACTCTGGAATGCTTCGAGCAATTTCAACCAAACTTGGTACACAGATGACTTACTCTGTGGAAAGAAATACTATGGGGATAAGACACCCCCTAACACCTGGGGGGGGGGAGGGGGTTCTGTTAAGATACAGTCTGTTGTGCCTTAAAATGGCTTCTACTGTACTGCCGTAAAATGGATTCTACTGTGCAGCGCAGTGGAGTTGCCATGGTAACGGCTTCACAGTACTTCACAAGGGGGCTCTCTCTGGTAAGGGGGGAAATCCAACATTAGAAATTACGTTTGATGCAGACATTTTCCCCTTATAAATAAATACCCGGGAAAAACTGGGTTATTGGCTAGTATTAAATATTTATCACCCGAAAGCTGATGAAATCTACAAGCCCCAGAGCATTTCTTGTATTCATTAGAGCAATCCAGTCATATTACCGACATTCAAGCTGAGGTAAGAATCAAATGACAGGAATTTGCCTACTCAGAAGGCGACGAGATATAATTTAGAAACTTCTGGATTTGCTAGGCCCCACGAAATCATGTCGTTCTAGCGTTAAGTTCCCCTTAGCTCCAACCCGATAAGGCAGATCTTTGAAAATCTGTACTCTGTGAAGATCTGGCACATTTTACACAAAGGACATTGAGAGACAAATAGAAGACAGAGATGGATCTACTGCATTCATGACAGATTCTACAAATCTGTCTACAAATCATGGTTGCCCACCTTTTTTTTAAGTCAAAGGCCAAATAATACTTTGTGGTTTGGTCATTTGGAAGCTTAGGGACAGAAGGAGAGATTGTAGAGAAAGGGACAAGAAAGAGTCCGATACAGCCATCGCAGAAAATAAATAAATCTGCCCAAAATAAAATAAAATCATTGTTTTTCTCGATTCCACTATTTTCCCCCCAGCTGATTTCAGTCCTAAAACCAACAATTCGATTGTTGTGTTTGTCCCAAATCAGTAGCCATTGAGATGGGAGCTGGGGTTGCCTACCTCCAGCTCTTTGTATATGCTGTTCAACCCTTACTCATCAGCTACTAAGAGGACAGATGGAGGGGACTTGGGAACAGCTTCAGCTCACCTTTCTTTAACTTGGTTACTGACGACCCTACTTTAACAACGGTTCCTGATGCTTCGTGGCCCAGCACCATTGGAGACTTCACCACAAAATTTCCAATTCGCCCATGTTGCCAGTAATGGACATCAGACCCACAGATTCCCACGGAGTGCATTTTCAAAAGTACTTCTGTTCCAAAAAGAGATAAACCAGAGTGTGAAATCATATTTGATAACCCTTATTATGTACACTATAAAGAAGGGCCGGCTTTAGAAGCAACAGAAATGTGATTAATTAGCTCATCTAAATCCCTTTAAGTAAATATGGATCCATACATTGCTATGATTGACACGCCCTATTTATGTAAATGAGATTAAAAATTGAAGCACTGAAACCCCAAAGAACAACACAGGTAGTCTTCAATTTATGTCCGCAATGAAGCCTGAGGTTGCAAAATGGGTCGATCACATGATCAATTCAATTTTATGACCGTTTAGAAGAAGTCACTCATTAAGAAACCAATGGTTTGCTATGAAGAGTTGGGACCATCCAAATAACAGAATAAAATACTTGGAATGGACCTTGGAGGCCTTCTAGTCCAACCCCCTGCTCAGGCAGGAAACCCTACACCACTTCAGACAAATGGTTATCCAACATCTTCTTAAGAACTTCCAGTGTTGGGGCATTCACAACTTCTAGAGGCAAGTTGTTCCATTGATTAATTTTTCTCACTGTCAGGAAATTTCTCCTTAGTTCTAAGTTGCTTCTCCCCTTGGTTAGTTTCCATCCATTTCTTCCTGCGCTTTGGAGAATAGCTTGACTTCCATCTCTCAATTGTGGGCGTTGAGGAGAAGAGAGGGAGATTCTAGAGCAAATTGATATTTAGAACAATTAACCAGTGGAACGTCTTGTCTCCAGAACTTGCGGGTGCCCCAAAACTGGAGGTTTTTAAGAAGAAATTGGACAGCCATTTATATGAGATGATATAGGGATTCCTACCAGGGCAGGGGGTTGGTTTAGAAGATCTCCAAGGCCCCTTCCAGCTCTGTTATTCTGTTATGGTACAGGGAATGTTGGCTTCTGGAGAATTTGGAAATGAACTTGGATCTCCTTAGAATAGAATAACAGAGTTGGAAGGGACCTTGGAGGTCTTCTAGTCCACCCCCCTGCCTAGGCAGGAAACCCTACACCACTTCAGACAAATGGTTATCCAACATCTTCTTAAGAACTTCCAGTGTTGGGGCATTCACAACTTCTAGAGGCAAGTTGTTCCATTGATTAATTTTTCTCACTGTCAGGAAATTTCTCCTTAGTTCTAAGTTGCTTCTCCCCTTGGTTATTTTCCATTTAATAATTCTTGTGGTTTGGAGAATAGCTTGACTTCCATCTCTCAATTGTGGGCGTTGAGGAGAAGAGAGGGAGATTCTAGAGCAAATTGATATTTAGAACAATTAACCAGTGGAACCTCTTGCCTCCAGAACTTGCGGGTGCCCCAAAACTGGAGTTTTTAAAGAAGAACTTGGACAGCCATTTATATGAGATGATATAGGGATTCCTACCAGGGCAGGGGGTTGGTTTAAAAGATCTCCAAGGCCCCTTCCAGCTCTGTTATTCTGTTATGGTACAGGGAATGTTGGCTTCTGGAGAATTT